AATGAACATTTGCACGATATTCTAATTTTTCGAGTTTCACCTGTAATGAACTAGTAGGGAAGAGCAGAAGGCAAGTAAAATTAGCATTGGTACTTACAATGTGGCTGGATTAAAGCTGAAAAAACAGCCAATGTCTGATGTGGCCAAAAGCAAAAGTTCAGTGCTGGAAAGATAAGTATTCTGCAACATAGAATATAAAAGACATGATGCAAGGCAAACTTGATGTTATCAGAACAGATATGTCATGACTGAACATTGGGAATGTTCAGGGAATCCACAATCTGAGATAAACTGGAATAAGTCACTTCACATCAGAGAAGCATCAGATTGTCTACTGTGGACAAGAAAACCATAGAAGACATGGGGTAACCGTCAATATTAATAAAAGGATGTCACAGTCAGTCCTCAGATACAACCCTCCAGATGATGGAATGATTTCAATAAGAGTCCAAGAGAAGGCAAACAAAATACAGAGGAGGCAGAAACTGAACAGTTCTGAGGTAAATTGCAATACAGGAACCAAAAAAAGATGTACTAATAATAGGAGACTGGAAGTTGGAAGTAAAATAGCATCTGAATAATGTGAAAATTTGGCTTCAGTTTACAAAAATAAGTAGGAAACAGACTAAGAGTTCTGCAAAGAAAATTTCATTTTTACAGTAAATACCTTCTTCCAACAACCTAAAAGATGGACCTCTCTGGATGGATCAAACTGATCAATCAAGCTGATTATATGCTTTGTAAGCAAAGATGGAGAAGCTTTAGTCAGTCAGCAAAACCAAGATTTTTACTGACTGCAGCTCAAAGTCCTCTTTGCAAAATTATAACTTAAAGAAAACAACTGGATCATTAAGATACAGCCTCAGCAATAGTCCATATGATTGTGTGGTGAAGTTAAATAATATATTTAATGGATTACATTTGATCAACAGAGTACCTCAAGCACTGGTGAAATTCATGACATCTTCAAAGATGAAGGGGGGGGGAACCCTATCCCAAAATGCAGGAAGCAAAAGGCCAGCAAAATGGCTTTCAACTGATATGTTGAAACTATCTAAAGAAAGCAAAAAGCAGAAGAAAATTTGCCCAAATAAATGCTGAGTTCCAGAAAAAAGCAAAAAGAAACATAGAGTTATGAATCAGGAAGGCAAAGAAACTGAAGATTATAATGAAATGGGCAGGACAAGATCCTAAGAAAATTACAGAAATAAAGGGAAACCTTTATGCAAAGATGGGCATTATGAAAGACAAAGAAAGCAATGGAGAATGATGCAAAAAAGAGATGGTGTGACCGTACAGAAGAAATTGAAGATACAAAGATTTGATCACTGAACTTCCATTCTGGAAAGTGAAATTAAATGGTCCTAGAGAATTGCTAACTACAAAGCTTCCAAAACTGATGAAACACCAGCCAGACTGTTTAAAACCTTGCAAGAGGACGCAGTTTGAGCATTGCTTGCAGGTGGTAAGCAGGTATGGGAAAATGGAGCAATATTTATAGAGTTCAAATGCCTCTGTACTGATTTACTTCTAGGGAAACGTGGAATTTTGCATGGTAGGAGAGCTTTGAGTATCCTTACTTTCTTTTACAGCACAGCGTTTTGATATAGTTAACTATGCCTTTAAATTTTGTGACTAATTTTACCATGTTGTCTGTTTATCTTCCTTTTGGGGGGAGGGTTCCTTTTAAAAATAAGCTATCAGTTGGACATAATGGATCTGTATTTCCTAAATCCAAACTTGCAATTCCACCGGTGGACTTGCCACTGTTCCTTTTCAGGATTTTCGCTGCTTCGTTTCTAGTATCGCGTATTATAAATAAGAGAAGCAAGAACAGATCCCTGCGGAGGGAAAATTTTCTCCCACAACTTAACAGGAACCATTTATATTTAAATCTGGCCCTAGACAGTCTTATCAATTGGCAAGCAATACGAATTGTTTCTGCCTTAATAACGTCTCAATTACATCGATTGCCCTCAGTTGCTGCAAAGGACAGCCCCCTCCCCTCCCCGCTCTCCTGCTTCTGGTTGGGCCAGGTAGCGAGGAATGCTGTGACGTCACCGGGGAAGGCAGGTGTTGCCAGTCCCTCAAGGCACAAGAAAAGGTACTCCTTGCCAGTGCCCGGCCGGGATTGAGCACGCGCACTAGGCAGAAAGCGGACCAGAGGGAGAGGGAAGGGGGGAAGGAGTGAGAGCGAGCGAGCGCGCGCGCCCCGCGTGCGCGCACGGGCTCAACGCACCAGCTCTGAAGTCGGCGCGGAGCGAAGCGTCCTGCGGTAGCTGCTGAAGCTAAACCGAGCCCTGCAGGGCTGCGCTTTGGACAGCAGCTCCGGGCGCGGTAGGTGAGCGCTTGCGGCCGCCGGGGGCTGCCAGGGCTGAGGAGAAGGATGTCCTGGTTGCCCCTGCATCCTCTGGCCCCTGGCTGGGCTGGCTGCGCCGCAGCGGGTGCGGACGGGGGCTGAAGTTTTGCTGGGGAACTTGGGAGGGGGGGACGCTGGAGGTGCCTTTGGCGCGTCCTCCTGCCCGGGCAAAGGCTGAACTTTCGCGAGGGAGGGAAAGTTTTTCGGGTCGGCTGGGCGGGCGCCGCGGCGACGGCGAGCGAGGGTCGCTCGCCTCGGGTCAAGTTGGAGCGGGGAGCCGTCGCCTCCCCCGCCTCCTGGGAGACGCCGGCGAGCCAATGGGAAGCGCGGCGGCGGAGGCGGGGGGTTCTCATTGGAAGGGGCAGCCTCGGATTCTGCCGCTCGCCCGGAGCTGGCGCTGCGTCTTGCCTCGCGCTTCGCCGGGGGCCGCTGGCAGCCTCGGAGCTCCCGCGGCCGGCTGCGGCTGGAGAAGGGTCTGCAGGCTCGGCTCGGCTCGGCTGGCCGGGCCCCGAGCTCCTGCCGCCGCCCTCCAAACTGAAGGCGTCCAAGAGGGCGCGCAAATGAATAACCCAAGCCGTGGCTTCCCTTCGCCGCCGCCAGCTTTAGGCAGTGCCAGGCGCTCAAGAGAAAAGTTGGCAAGGATGTCGCGGCTGACCAAAGGGCTCTTCGGATTGCGCTCTGTTGCGCTTGCGCGGAGCCGCGAAGTATGTGGAAAGCGACCTCGCCGGTTATTGCTGCTTTTAAAAAGAGAGGGAAGCAATTATCTAATCCACTCAGTAAAAGAATACCCTGGCGTGCCTCATTGAGAGCCGACGTGCGTTACTGGAGGGTGTTGTAGTCGCTGAGCTTAGAAGGCGCTGTCCCTTCTCCCTTTGAGCCCACCCTGCCCTCTTTCTTTTCGTACATGGCAGGAAGGTGCTGAGAGGAATGTGAAGGGAAGTGGTGCCCGCGTTTGCCAAGAAGAGGTTCAGATTTCATCCTCCTCTTAGACCTCCCTAAAAGCTCTTATTATTATTTTTTTTCCTGTAAGGTACATCTGCCAAACTTAGATAGGCTGGAAGTGCATCTGGCTTATTAATCGGTTCACTTTCTTTTGCTTTCAGTCATCCACTAAAAATACTCTCATGGTCTTCGTGAGAGGGGTTCAAAGAGGGTCTCAGTTTGGACCGAGAGAGGAAGGTTGAGTTTAACAGTTCCTGCCCCAGCTTTCCATGTAAAATGGATTTTTCCTTTGTTTTTCTTGAAGGGTGGCTGCTGCAAAGAGTAATTATGGTTTGAGTATGAAGCATTTTATGTATTAGAATCAGTATGCAAAATAATAAAATATTTGCATTGAGTTCAGTGGCACCACTAAACAACTGAGTAGGTCTGCATTCTAGCAAGTTTTGAATTGGTTGGTGCTGCCCTTGTGGGATAACTGTAAGAATGAAAGATCTGTGATTCTGGTACTGAGAATTCTCTTTTTCCCCCTTTTTGCTGATCTCCTTAATATAGATTCTGGACAGTTTAGTCTCCCTCTGGACAGCTTTTAGCTTGGAAAGTTTCTGGGACCTTTTAAACACAGTGCAGTGAGTAAAGGCATCTCCATGTTCCCCACACTGTTCTCACATCAAATTGTTTCTGTGCAGCTTCCTTTCAGCTAGGCTGATGAGGATCAGGTTTTCTCATCACGATAGCTGGGACAGGGTTTGTGCTGAACCTGGTAAAAATAGCCAGATTATTAACTGATATTTTATCTCTCCAGTCTAACATCTAACATATGCAGAAAAGCTCAGAGGAACAAAGCAGAATTTTAGAAACAAGAAACAGAATTTCTAGAGATTGTGGAAGGGGGAGACAATTTCAAGGTGACTTGTTTAGGGCTGCAAACCAAGCTTGTGAACTGAACTGTGAGAGGAAATCTGCTTTGTGTGATGCTTCAGGCTATGGATGAATGTGTCCTTGAGTCAAGTGGCTTGGATATGCTTGCTTGCTTCTGGTTGAGAGAAATCGTCAGATATGCAATTTTGCTGGCTTTTTCAACAGTGTCAAGTTGTACTCTGTTTCTTTCATATCCAGTGAAAATGTCCTTTCTGCTACAGAGACAGCTGCATTCTTAACTCAGATCTGCCTTACTGTTCTAAGCATTCTGCAGTGCTGCAACAGTGATCATAATATGGAATAGTGACTGCAATTCCAGTAGGATCCTCACAATTGACCACACTACTGGTGTCCTCACCTTGCATCTGAATAAGGAAACTTATAAGTGCTGTCTTCAGCTGGCCGACAGAGAAGGGACTTTGCAGAAAATGGCCCCTGTCCGCCTGTTTTTCTGGTTGTGCTTGTTTTCATAGTGAAGAACAAACCATCCACTCTGTGGAAGAGCAGAAAAGCAGTCCCTCAGATCAACTCAGAAAGTTGGTGCGGGGTGTGTGTGAAATAATGATGAAGCTCAGTGGCACCTTGAGTTTTCAATACCAGGCTGAGGTCGGATTTCCGAAACTATTTTCTCTATAATTCCAGATGAAGTCCTGCAAAATTATTTTTGAAAAGTTTCTGCTGGAGCAGTAGTTGAGTTGGAAGCTAATTGGCTTAGCTTACGAAAACTTTTGCAAAATACATGGTATTGTAGCAGGAAAGAAACTTGGATTGGTGAAGCCCTTGTGTATCTTATACATTAATATGTTAATTTGCAAACCTAACTGGACATGCAGTTGTAGACTGTTCATAGTATCTGAAGTGTTTTATAAATAAAAATTGGCATAAAAGGTATAATTCTCTAAAATTTCAATGTAGCTTTCAATCTTCTTAACCACTTCTAATGTTCAATATTGTAATGTCTATACTTTTCCTCTGCTCTTGCTTTCTGACACCTTTTTCCTTGAAAAAAAGACAACTTTAATAATAATGATGTAGATAAAAATAATATAATATTGCAAAAGGCAGCTTTACTTGGAACAGCTTATATCCTGTGACAATACCTTTAACACCAT